TACTTTAACTTCACATAAACATAGATAATTGAAGTTTATTACGATAATAATAGATGAACATACGTAAGGAAAAAAAAGTAATTATTATAATTTTAATCACGCTTGATAAACATTGGTATATAAAAATAGAAATATGAGATGTTGTGTACTTACTTTATGGATTCGTCGCATTCTATCGGCAAGAAGAACAAATAGATTGTCTTGTTATATATCAATATTAAAATATACTACTGAACATGGCGATGAAATTAAAATCAAGTCCTAGTAATTTAACATTTTATACAACTTGGTGGTTAACTTCAACATCATCAATTTCACCTAAAATAACATCATCTAGTCAAACTTCTTTAAAGCTAGATGATAAATGTAATATTATTGAACAAGTAATTATTCATATAATTATATATGTTTTGTATAAAGTTTTTTATACTAGGTTATCAATCAAGATGAATTCGTATCAAATTGTTGTATTCCAATTAAAATATTTCGTATTAAACGATGATCGTTTGTTGTCTATTGGAAAATTTCAATAAACGCGAGAAAAAATACATCTATGAAATATTTATAAAAGTTCAAAAGTGATGATTGTCATTATAAATAAAAATAAAACGGATTTTCTTTATTCTCCGGTAGCATCGGATCTTTTACTTGAGTGTTTTGATTATAATTATTACATATAAACATGTTCCGGCTGAGTTTATTTCGATTATCATTTTTTTTTCTCGTCAACCACAATTTCTGTTATCGATAAAAATATCAAAACACGTTCTTTAAACTTATTTTAGAAACGTCTAAATTTTTTCTAACTGGAAGTAGGTTGAAAAATAACGACTTATGTTTAGTGATTACATTTGCGAAACTCATCAGACCGAACTGAGATTATCAATGAATATTTAATTCAATCCTCCCAGTAGCATATAAGAAATGTAACTACTTTCAAGATGCCCTTATCTGCGACATCAAGTAATAATTAGTTTTACCATAGACTTATTTTCAATTTCTTCAAAATGTCATTCTGGCTCAATATTTACTAGGTACTTTGATGTGCTTTCTAGATAAATAGTAGCATCGGATTCTCATGATATTGATATCATTAAGAAGAAATCTTGTTGAATTTATACGTATAGATAATAAAATGTAACAAATTCTTAGTTAAATTATTCCTAATCTTCGTTGGATGTATTATATGGTTGTTCAAAATAGATTTTTGTAGTATAATGATACATTGCAACATAATTGCATTAAACCTTTAGAGTATGGATGTTATATATATATATTGATATTACATCCTCAAGATATTTTATTTATTATTTCTACTACATGTTTATATTTACTCTCTCGCTCTTTATATGAAAATATATAATCTATTCTTTTTCGTGAATGAAAGTATCACTGTTTACGATATACAAATTTACTTCAATATAATTGTACATAAAAATATTCTTGCTTTAGGATTAATATAATAATTCATTCAGGTTATTCGAGATATACTTATCTTTTAAGTATATCTCGAATAACCCGAATTTATAAAAGCATACTTCCTTTTTCTGTTTATCTCATGATATAGATCTTCAATGTATTGATAGTGTCTATATTTTGACAATAGTTTATGTATCTCAGCTGGATTTATCTACTGAACTGATAACGTTGGGTCCGCACAGATATATGCGAAATATCTAACGATTTTCGAAAAACTTATCTTGTTCTCGAGAAAATATTCTATTACATTCTAAGTGACATTTAAAATTTGCCTGAGAAAATCTTCTATGAAAGCTGATTATGATATTTTCGTTTATTATTTTACTTTCAAAGAATTAATTCTTTTAATGGTAGTATTAACTTGTCGTTCATAGAAAATTTTGTATAGTATGTCATCGGTTAATACTAATCTTGGTAAAAACAACACGAAGTACTCGATAACGTTTAACATTTCAACGTCTTATTCTATAATCTTATCCATTTAATCGACGAATATGATGCCAATATTTCCGCAAGAAATACTTGCAATTTTATTTTTTTTCCTCTATTATTTGATATAATGATCTTCTTAAAGGATAATCTTGTATAACACAGTTCATGACTATCACCATATTATTCATATGATTTAACACGATCTTATATAACAAGTCATATTTTTATTTAGACTAGCATTTTTTTTGTTTTCTTGCTATGCTTTTACTGATTAACCTATGTCGGCTTACATACAGGAAAATGTTACAAGGAAGCAGATGATTCACTAAATATATATTAAAGAGAATAAAAAAACATATTTCTCTATCATTAATAAATAAATTATAAACACGTACTATAAGCAAATACAAAAAAAAAAGAAAATTGAAATTCGAGAATTAATTTTATGTTAATTTCTTTTTTTTAGATAATTATTATAACAGCATCAGTATGAGAATGATTATACAGATTAATATATACGAAATATAATTTTATAAATAAATTTGCATAATTTACGATGGACATTTAGAGACAAAAATCCATTCTTCTTGTGTAAATGTCTCAGAAATAATTTAAAGCATTTGTTTTATTATTATTAAATTTTCATTTTTCTAATTGGATCTTCAGTTGTTATATTTTAAGTCTAGTAAAATTAAATCAACTCTCATTATTTGAATATAATACAATAAAGTAATCTCTTTGAAATTAATCAAACACGTTACAAGTCAATTTTTTTTTCTTCATTAGAATTACAATCCGGTTATCAATATTATTTTTATTTTTAATCCGATTTTTAATAAGAAACACTTCGACTTAATCTCTCTCTCTCTCTCTTTTTTGTTCTTCTCATCATGATGTTAATAAAAATATGTCCTATAAGAATCATATAGATCTACTTCTTTTTTTGTTCTAATGTAATATTATCCTCAATTATTTAGCAATAAAATAATAAATTAATTATTAATCATTCTGACGTATTCAATTGTTTTTCTCTTGAAAATAGTCTACGATGTAATGTCATCAAGATCTTTTATTTAGAATATCCACTTGTTTATTATTAATTAGAAAAATTTGTTTTCTAAAGGTTAGATCAAACTATATTATTATGCTCTTCTTGTAGTTCTTAAGTTAACACATATTACTATAGCGTAGACAGAAAGACATATGAAACATGTCATAGAGCGTCTATCATTAATTAAATATATAAGGTGAAATAGTACAAGTATGATGAATAGTTCCTATTTTCAGCTATTTTGTTTAGTGAAGTCGAAAATATTTGTAATTTTATACTTGACTTTATTATAATAGACATGTTCTCTTCACAATTAAAGTAGATAACATTCTGAGAATTGTTGAAAGGATCTAATATATCCGATCATGTATGACATCAATCTATCATGCTTATTAAATGATATTATAATAATAATTCTATTAACAGTAGCACTCTTCGATACGGTAGAGTGATCTTATATTTCGAAAGGAAAACAAGTTTCGTTATACTAACTATATTATATATTCATATCTCACTCGATTTTCCTATAAAACTATTCGCTTGAAAGAATAAATTTCTGCTTAAGTGGCATTGTAAATGAAAAGCGGAAGTATTTCTCATGTCAAACAGTTCAAATATGATGATGAATGAAATTGTTTGATTTTTTGAATATATTAATAGGTTCTTTCTCTCTTTTTTTCTTCTTCTATTCTATTTCATAATATCATTATGACATAGGAAAGAAGTAAATTTAAAAAGAACTAAAAATAAAAATGTCTATCTTTAACAATAAAATCAAATAATAAGAGTTTTTCAAGAAGAGGAACAATAAAATTTGAATAAATTCTACATTTTTTCCTCTTTTTTAACACATATTCGATTCACTTTTCCTAATTATTCATTGGTTATGACTACAGAACAAAAAAAGTATTGCTTCGTTCTTCTTTACACTCGGTCGACAGCGGTGATGACTAGAGATAGTTAACGACAACGAAGAAAAAAACTGCCCGACAACTCGACCGGGCCTCTCGTCTGATTTATTAGACATCTTCTCATTCTCTTCTTTTTTCTTCTCTTTTTTTCTGTTCTTCTCGCTGACTACACCATCTATTTTCATCGTTGTTGTTAATATAATAATAATAATAATATTATTATTTTCGAGCACAGTTCTCTTCTCTCTTTCCCCTTCATTCGGAATAATATTACTTTTTTCCACACACATAGACATTCAACTCGACAAGAACAAACAAAGACAGTTTAACTATGGGTGACACTATACGTTCGTCTACTCTTTTATTTTCCTCTTAACTATCTCTCTATTGACTAGGCATTGGTGCGCGCATATATATGAATATACAGGAAGAGAGAAGAAATACGAGAATTCGTTTTCATTTTCGATTAGTTATATATGTATCATAAGGGTAATGTAAAGAATGTGATCAAATTCTTTTTTTCTATCGCCATAGTCTTCATTGTATAAAAAAACGGCCAAAGAAATGATTAAAAATCAAAAAACATTTTATCGTTAATTAACTTCCCTTTGTTTTTGCCTCACTTGTTCGTTTCTTAATTAGACAAAGACATCGATATGTTCGGCAAAAGGTAAGAGTACAGTATAAACATATATATATATATATAATATGTCTAATATTAATAGAAAAATTCCTAGTGAGAGAGAAAAAAGTTGTTAATCTCTTTTTAATTATTATTTCTTATTCTATCGACATACAAAGAAAAAGCCTTTCGGTTTTGACTTTGATGAAAAGAAACGAGAAAAAATTGGAAGACTAAAAAGAAACGACTAGATTACTTTTTGATTCTTATATATATATATATATGACCGTACCAAGACGGTTAATGTGTTGGCAATTAAACTTGGCCTATCTCTTCTTTTTCTCCTCTCATATAACACTATATATTCGTGAATATGCAAATCGAGCGCGAATAAACGAGGCTCGTATTTGTGTTAATCGCCGATCATTTTCTCTTTCCCTTTCGATTGCACATTTTTATTCCTCTACTCTCTTTTATAGACATTAATAGGTACTGTATGATGACGATGGAAGCATCATCGAACAGTCGAGATGGATTATCATCAACATCATTACAGTTATCTGTTGAACAATGGGAATTATTAAGACGTTTACGTAATAGTCATTTATCAAAAACACAAATTATACGAGCTTATGATGAACTTGATCGTCTTGATCGTGAACTTGGAAATCTATTTAATACAGCACCTCCTTCATCATCAACAAACGTTCCTCTTCCTGATCCTGTTTCGCCATCGACTATGATTACACAACAGATATCTCCATCTTCTTCAAACAATAATAACAATAATAATAATAATAATAATAATAATAATAATAAACGACCCCATAGTCATACTGTCAATGGTTTAGCATCAAGATCGTCATCAACAACTTCTAATGGATATCATACTCAGTTACATCATCCTACACCACCATTAAATGTGAATACTCCACGTCCAAGAAATGGTGGTAACGAAATCAATTCAGCCAATGTAAATCAATATGAATCAATGACTCAAAATGATTTGGAAGAAGAAACAAGAGAATTACAAGAATTACTTTCGTATGTATTTCATATATATAAGAATAGAAATATTGAACACAGAGCAGAAAAATAAATAAAAAAAAATTTTTTTTTAAACAAAAATACGATATTAATTTTTATTACTACTTCATTGACAATGAGCAATTGAAATGAATCTATCATAAAAATTAATAAGAAACCTTAAAAAGTTCAATAGAAAAACAAATAAATAAATAAAAGAAAATATTTACTCCTATATCTTATCGAAAGTTTTATTACTTATTATCAAGTAATAAATATCAAGGTTATAAACTAATCGATAAATAATCATAAATTAATTTATTGCTTTTCTCTTTTTTTATCGTAAAATTCAAATTATGATCTTATCATTTTTATTATTAGTAATAAAATAATTATAATTTCCTTTAATTACTTCTGAAAAATGAATTTTCTTTTTTTTCTAGTAAAGGTGATGTTGCTATTCATAATGAAATATCTGTATTTGTCTATCGATATGATCTCAAACAATCACAAATAGCACGAATGGCTTGTAAGATTTCTTATATTTTTCGTTTTTTAAAAAATAAATTCTTTGTTCTTTTTCAGCTGTTAATCAAGCATATGTATCAAAATTTTTACGTGGAGATTTATTTGATTTATCTGAAAATGGTCGAATGGCTATATGTCGGTGGTATATAAGATATAAAAAAATAGTTCAATCGATGGGTAAATTATATTTATTTTTCTCATTAAATATTAATTTGATATATAATGGTAACATTAATGATCATTAGTAAAAAGCGAAATAGGCTCATTAATTTTTATGTTTAACTGATTGATACGATCAGTTCGACAATTTTTTTGAATTCATAATTGTTCATTTGATACTTATGACCTTTATATGAATAGTCAAAAGAATAAATATATATTATTATTTAGGTAATGGTCCACCATCTGCTGAATTACTCGCTAACTTAACATCATCATGTGAACCGCCCACGAAAGTACCTCGTCTTAGTGAACCTCAAATAAATAATAATTCATCACCTGTTTCATTCGACGCACCAAAACGTACACGATTTACTTTTCGTCCTGAACATCTTGATGTAAAATATATTGGAATTATCAATAAATTCTTCATTTTGTTTTCTTGCAGATTCTCGAAAAAGCTTTTCTTGATAATCCATATCCTGATCCACGGCGTCGTGAAGATATAGCTCGAATATGTAATGATGCACGAACACGTACTGAAGGTAATAATGAAGTTTTAAATGAACGTGATCGAGTAACCGATGCTATTGTAACACATTGGTTTCAAAATAAACGAAAAATGGCTAAAAGTCAACGAAGTATATACATAATCATTTCTAATAGACAAATATATATATATATATATTTCTTTTCTATTAGCATCAGTTCATGATGATTCAATGCCATTAGGTCTAAGTAATAATGGTAGTAATCATATATCAACAATAAATGATTTTGAAAATATGAATGACGATGATGATTTACATGTTCAACAATTACAACCACCACATCATCAACAACAACATCAACATCAACATAAACCAACTGTACCTATCGTTGATGGTGATTATTATGATACATCGAATTCATTACTTGACCCACAAATGGCTGCTTATCGAGCTATAATGAGTCGTATGGTACCATTTGCAAATAATGTTAATGGAAATAATTCACCCAAACGACTTGTTAAACAAGAACCATACCATAATCAAGATGACGACTCAAGTCATGGTGATGAATCCAATTCTTCATCACCATTAAACGATCATTTATCACCGTGAATTTCTTTTCAATAAATAAAAATGAAATTTTTCTTTATATAAATATATAAATATATATAAATACAATTCTATTCTTGTTTATTCTAGTCTTTGTCTGTATCTGTGTAATGTAACACATACATTCCTTTCTTTTTTTTGTTTCTTTTTTTTTCAATATAAATATAAAAGAGATTTTTCTTATATAGAATGAAAATATAATATCAGTCAATAAAATCCAATGCACAATTATTTGTAAGGAAGATTTATATTTAGATTATGAAATTCCTTATCTCATTCTTCTTAAAATAAATATTTAAATAACCTATTATTCACTATCTATTTTATATAGAGAATATAAACGCAGTTAGTTAAATCATGTTTGAAAAGAATTATAGATAAGTATGTATGTAATCTATTATAAGAAGATAGGTCAATTAGTATATCGAAAAAGAATTTCTTAGTCATTTTAATATAAGAAGAAAAACAAGAATGATTTGACACGACAAGAAATTATTATTAAAATGTAAATTGTAATTTATTTTTCTTTATTCCTCTTATGTTTTTACATGATGAAAGAAAAAGCGAATATTGTTCAAGGCCTTTTTCTCTTGTTTATTACTATGGATATTTTTTAATTATACGATATATTAAATTCACTAGTAAAGCAAATGTTCTATCCGAGAGGTATTAGTTCGAAGTTATTCCATTAGCCTATAAGGAAAAAGATTAGTAAATTAATTAAGTAGTATATAAAGGCTATAACATCTTGAATATGGGTCAAAGTATTTAGTCATCATGAGGAAATGTAAACAATGAACTTCAATATCTTCTCTAAGAAGAAATACGTTATATAAAACTGAATAATAAATTTTTATATTTTCATATACATCGCCTTCCGACGAAGAATCAAAATACCATTCTACGAATCATACATAGTCTTGTGAAAAAAGAAAAAAACAGGTACACGTCTAGACATAAACGTTAAGTAATAGAGTGAAGAGCATATCATTCCTAATAAATATTGACACAAAAATAATGAAGAATATATATTAAAGTACAGTTAGACTGATTAGTTATTAAATATACGTTACTGCTATTTTCATATACTGCATGGAATTAACAAGAGAATTTTGATGAACATATAGAATTTCCTAATACTGTCACTTCAGTTAGCTTATGTGATATAGTATATCGAAATCTTATCGATAATTAGTATTATCTTAAGCGATTGGAAAATAAATTCTTCTAATGTCTTTGAAATGTCTGTAGACTACCGCTAGACCTAAGAATTGTTTATATATGTACATGGTTTGAAAGTGAATGTACAATTTAAAATCTAGATCAGAAAGACATCTTATAAAGTTGATTCTTTTTCTTTATCCTGTCTTAGAATTCGTACTAAGATAGTACTAATACTCTTACAGTAGCTATTACGCTAACATCTATATGAAAATGTTGTATTTATACTGAATTTAAATGATGACACTTTTCAGTGGAGATAGTTACTGTTATGTTAGTCAATTTTAATTTCGTTTCTATGCTATTAAAGCGAATAGGGTTAGAATAGCTCCAACTGTGGAATTCAGATCTGCTGTTCTCGGAATATTTATAGAACTAAATTTCATTTAGATGCAATACAAGAAAAATTCATATTGATACATATTGTACCAGATTTGACATCAGCATCATACTAGTAATTACAGTTTCAATAACACTGTTGTAATACAATTAGAGATAGCTCATTCTATGCTTATTTACGACTTGTACTTATTAGTTAATCTCACCTAATTATAAAAACATGTACCATTGAAATAATGTCTAAAGTAGAAGAATTAAAACTATTTGTAAAGAACTACGAGTTTTTGTTTTGTGTGATGTAGCTAAGGGGGTAACAGCGACTTCAAGACTTCAAGATTTTAAAGACTTCAAAAGATTTCAAAAGATTTCAGAAGACTTCTAGAGACTACAAGAGACTTCAATGCACTTCGCAGATTTCAAAAAACTTCAAGAGATTTCGAAGACGTCAAGAGACTTTATAAGACTACAAGAGACTTTATGCATGAAGTCTCCGTTGTTCACCCCTTGGATGTAGCATTCTGCTCTGAATATTTATTATAGTTATTTTTTTTATTTATTTTTATTAACTTAGATAATCAAAAGCAAAATAACAAAAAAAAAGATAAACATTAAGTTTCCTAATTAGATCAGGATAGTTGCCAATCCATATAAATAAATATATATATTAAATTCATGTTATAATTGAAATGTTTACAAAGAAAACAATGTTAATTTTATGAGATTCAATCAAACAAAACATTGAAAACTAACAAAGAAAACAACAAACATGCGTTTAGAATTGTTTGACTAGTTCAGATTTTTTTTTAAATTTTACATATAAAAATTATAACTTGAGAAAAGAACAAGATAAAGTTTGCATAACGATATAAAATCAGATCTTAACAATTGATTAACGAGCAGCCATAACACCAAATGTTAATACATCATTGCATAATTGACATACTCTTACTGGTTTTGGTAAATTAAATTTTATTATTGGCAATTCATTCATAGAACAACGTTTACATAAAACTCGACCACAATGTCGACTAAATTTACAAATATAATTATAGATATTCAAATTAGTGAAGTACTAACCAATGATGTCTTCGATTTGTTATAGTAAATTTTACTCCACATTCTAAACATGTTTCACCTTCACCCCATGGCGGTTCATGTGGAATAATATCTAATAAATTTTTGAATAGATTTCTTAGTCAGAAAAAAAAACAATAATTTAATACGTACCAAGAATATTAACTAATAAAGCTTTACTTGCTACTGGCATAGTAAATATTGATAATAGATCATTATTACAAATACTTAAATTAGCACCAGCTGTTACAAGTGCACGACATAATTGTCCATGACCATTTTTATAAGCTGATAGAAGAGCTAAATAAATTTGAAATGATTAAAAATAAGAATAAATTCCCTTTTCGAATTTACCAGAATTCCCTTGTCCATCTTGGATATCAAGAGGAAATTTGGGATAAAATTCTAATAAAGCAGCAAATATTAAATGTGCATTTTCCATACTATAATGTGCTAAGACATGAAGACAATTCATTCCTCTAGAAAAAGAAATAATCGAAATAAGAATAAATAATGATTTATCTTACTTGTTATTAAGTGTAAATACATCTATATCTGATTCGGATAATAGACGACGTACAACATCAGAATGACCATGTTGAACAGCCAGATGAAGTGCTAAATATATATTTATGTAGTCAATGTAATGGTTTCCTCTTGGGTTTTACTAATTATTCTATATTCATGAAAACAAATCGGTATGAATATTAGTCTTGATAATAGAATAGAGATAATATCTTTTATTCGCTTATTCTATAGATAAAATGATTTGCAATACAATTGTAGTCGTTTGACAAAGATCAAAACTGTTTCTAGATATGCCCATCTTCGGAGGAGATTATTTAGAATACAAACAAAACAATATATTATATACATACCAGTATTTTGATTTGAATCAAGTAAATTTGCTTGAATATGATTTTCAATAAGAATACTACAAATAAAACCTCGATTATTTTCCGATGCAATATGTAAAGCAGATCGACGATTTGCTGTTACATTGTTAATATTAGCTCCAGCAAGTAACTAAATTAAATAATTATTTCAAGAGAAAAATATATATTGAATATCTTACTAAATTTCTTAGAATAATTTCATTTCCTGTTTGTACGCATAGATGAAGTGGTGTTAATTGATTTGTATCTTGTACTCGATTATTAACATTAACATGAACAGTTAATAAAAATAAAACACTTTCAATATCACCATTTTGTACAGCTATATGAAGAAAATTTCGTCCTTTATTATCAATCTAAAAATAAAGATTTTATTGACTGGATAAAAAAAAAAGTAAATTTTCATTTACTTGTTCAGCTGCATTGGGTTCTCGTTTTAAAATAAGATTAGCTGCTTCATTATTTTTTGAAACAATTGAACAAGCAAATGATGTTTGATTTTGTTTATTACGTATTGAAAGATCTAAATTTGGTGCACGAATAAGTAAATTAATAATATTTATATGTTGATTAATAATTGCAACATGAAGTGGTGTATTTCCTTCTGCATCCTAAAAAAAAGAAAATAATAATCGTCATGAAATCTTCAAAACTATACTTTTTTATTAATATCTGCATGATGTTCAATTAATGTTGAAACAACTCGTTCGAGACCCCATTGACAAGCTAAAACATAATGAAAGGATTAAGTAATTAAAAACAAATAAACTATATACCAAGATGTAATGGACTTTCAAGTGTTTTACATATATCAGGTGTTTCACCATTGAAACCAACTTGACGAGGGGAATTAATATCACAGCCACTAGGTTAAGAATGAATACATTAGATAAATAAATATTCAACAATATCAATATACCTTCGTATAAGAAAACAGGCAACACTTTCATTGTTTTCATCAACTGCTCGATGTAATAATGTTTGTCGACAATTATCAGGACCATTCGACCACCTAGAAATTATGAAAGTGTGTGTGTGTCTTATTGAAATATTCAGAATATCCTTCATCAGTAATTAGAACATTTGACTATCTTCTAGAGCTCACTGGAGAATCTTTTTCATATAGATCTTACACAAAAAAAA